ATGCATTCAGGAAAAAGTTGCTCATGTTAATATTCAAGAGAGTTTTGCCTATGTTTTCTTCTAAGAGTTTTATGGTTTCATGACTTACATTCAGGTCTTTGATCCATTTTGAGTTTACTTTTATGTATGGGTTAGACAATAATCCAGTTTCATTCTCTTATATGTAGCTGTCCAGTTTTGCCAACATCAGCTGTTGAAGAGGCTGTCATTTCCCCATTGTATGTCCATGGCTCCTTTATCGTATATTAATTGACCAAATATGCTTGGGTTTATATCTGGGCTCTCTAGTCTGTTCCATTGGCCTATGGATCTGCTCTTGTGCCAGTACCAAACTGTCTTGATTACTGTGGCTTTGTAGTAGAGCTTGAATTCCTCCACTTTATTCTTCCTTCTCAGGATTGCTTTGGCTACTTGAGGTCTTTTGTGGTTCTATATGAATTTTAGAACTATTTGTTCTAGTTTGTTGAAGAATGCTGTTGGTACTTTGATAGGGATTACATTGAATCTGTAGATTGCTTTAGGTAGGATGGCCATTTTGACAATATTAATTCTTCCTATCCATGAGCACGGGATGTGTTTCCATTTATTGGTATCTTCTTTAATTTCTCTAATGAGTGTCTTGTAGTTTTCAGAGTATAGGTCTTTCACTTCCTTGGTTAGGTTTATTCCTAGGTATTTTATTCTTTTTGATGCAACTGTGAATGGAATTGTTTTCCTGATTTGTCTTTCTGCTACTTCATCATTAGTGTATAGGAATGTGACAGATTTCTGTGTATTAATTTTGTATCCTGCAACTTTGCTGAATTCAGATATTAGATTTAGTAGTTTTGGAGTGGATTCGTTAGGGTTTTTTATGTAAAATATCATGTCATTTGCAAACTGGGACAGTTTAACTCCTTCCTTGCCAATCTGGATGCCTTTTATTTCTTCATGTTGTCTGATTGCCATGGCTACGACCTCCAGTACTATGTTGAATATAAGTGGGGAGATTGGGCATCCTTGTCTTGTTCCTGATCTTAAAGGAAAAGCTTTCAGCTTCTTGCTGTTAGGTGTGATGTTGGCTGTGGGTTTGTCATATATGGCCTTTATTATGTTGAGGTACTTGCCCTCTATACCCATTTTGTTGAGAGTTTTTATGGTGAATGGATGTTGAATTTTGTCGAATGCTTTTTCAGCATCTGTGGAGATGATCATGTGGTTTTTGTCCTTCTTTTTGTTGATGTGGTGGGTGATGTTGATGGATTTTCTAATGTTGTACCCTCCTTGCATCCCTGGGATGAATCCTACTTGATCATGATGGATGATCTTTTTTATGTATTTTTTAATTCGGTTTGCTAACATTTTTGTTGAGTATTTTTGCATCTGTGTTCATCAGGCATATTGGTCTGTAGTTTTCTTTTTTTGTGGTGTCTTTGCCTGGTTTTTGTATTAGAGTGATGCTGGCCTCATACAATGAGTTTGAAAGTATTCCCTCCTCTTACACTTTTTGGATAACTTTAATGAGAATGAGTATTAGATATTCACTAAATGTTTGATAAAATTCAACATTGAAATCATCAGGTCCAACATGGTGTGGGTGATCACAGGTAAAACAGTGTAACACAGAGAAGGCAAATAGTGAATCTGTGGCATCTTACTACACTGAGGGACAGTGCCTCTGCATTGGTATATGGGTGGGGACTTGATAATATGGGTAAATGTAGTAACCACATTGTTTTTTCATGTGAAACCTTCATAAGAGTGTATATCAATAATACCTTAATAAAAATTTTTAAAAAAAGAAGAAGAAATCATCTGGTCCAGGGGTTCTCATCTTAGGTAGTTTTTTGATCACCAGTTCAATTTCCTTGCCGGTAATTGGTCTTTTGAGAATTTCTTTTTCTTCCTGGGTCAGTCTTGGAAGGTTGTATTTTTCTAGAAAGTTGTCCATTTCTTGTTATCCAGTTTGTTAGCATGTAACTTTTCATAGTATTCTCTGATAATTCTTTGTATTTCTGTGGTGTCCGCAGTCCTCTTCCAATTTTTTAAATCAAGTTGTTGGACTTTTTGCTCTTGAGGTGTATGAGTTCTTTATATATTTTATATATTAACCAGGTGTGTGATTTGCAGATATTGTGTTTTCATTTTGTTAATTATTTCTTTAGCTGTGCAGAAGCTTTTTAGTTTGATACAGTCCCCCTGTATATAGTTTTTGCTTTTGGTGCTTGTTCTTTTGTCATACCTAATCACTCCCAAGAACAATGTCAAGGAATGTCTCCCTTGTTTTCTTCTAGGAGTTTTACAGTTTTAGTTCTTACACTTAAGCCTTTAATCCATTTCAAGTTCATTTTTGTAAGTGGTATAAGATAGAGGTCTAATTTTATTTTGCATGTGGTTATCCAGTTTTCCCAACACCATTTACTGAATAGACCATCCTTTCCCCACTGAGTATTCTTGACTCACTGGCTTCTTGACAATATTAATATTGTCAAATATTAGTTTTCAGTATATGCGGGGGTTTATTTCTGAACTCTGGATTCTGTTCTATTGTTCTATATGTCTGTATGCCAGTACCATGCTGTTTTGATTACTATAGCTTTGTAGTTTAGTTTGAAAATGTGATGCCTACAGCTTCTTTCTCAGGATTGTTTTGGTGATTCGAGGTTTTTTGTGGCTCTGTATAAATTTCGGGATTTATTTTTCTATTTCTGTAAAAAATGCTGTTAGAATTTTGATAGCAATTGCATTGAATCTATAGATTGGGCAGTATGGAATTTTAACAATATTAATTTTTCTGATCTGTGAACATGAGATATGTTTCCTATTTGTCTGTCTTGGATTTCTTTCATCAAAGTCTTAATAGTTTTCAGAGTACAGATCTTCTGCCCCTCTCATTAGATTTATTCCTATTTTATTGGTTTTGATGCTTGTGTGAATGGGATTGTTTTCTTTTCTTTTTCATATTTTTATTTTTAGTGTATAGAAACCGCTGTTTTCTTTATGTTGATTTTATGTCCTGCAACTCTACTGTGTTTAATTAGTTCTAGCACTTTTTGGTCTAGTCTTAAGGATTTGCTATATGTAAGATCATCAACAAGCAAAAACATTTTTACTTTTTCCTTTCCTATTTGGATGCCTTTTGTTTTTCTTGCCTGATTGCTGTGGCTGAGCTTCCAGTACTTTGGTGAACCGAAGTAGGGAGAGTGGGAATCTCTGTCTTGTTCCTGATCTGAGAGGAAAAGCCTTTCACCACTGAGTGTGATGTATGACTGTTTGTAGTGTCTCTTGTGTTGAGGTATATTCCTTCTATACCCAAATTGTTCAGCATTTTTATCATGAAAGGGTGTTGTACTCTGTCAAATGCTTTTTCTGCCTGTATCATGATTGCTGTGTGATTTTTATCTTTCATTCAGTTAATGTGATGGCATCACATTTACTGATTTGTGTATGTTGAACCATCCTTGCATCCCAGGAGTAAATCCCACTTTGTTATGGTAAAGGATCCTTTTTTTTGTGCTGCTTAATTTCATTTGCTTGCATTTTATTGAGAATTTTTGCATCTATACTCATCAGGGATGTTGGTCTGTAGTTTTCTCTTCTTGTAGTGTACTTTTCTGGCTTTGGTATCAAGGTAATGCTTGCCTTATAAAATGAGTTTGGGAGCATTCCTTCCTATTCACTTTTTTGGAAGAGTTTGAGAAGAATTGCTAATAATTCTTCCTTAAATGTTTGATAGAATTTACCAGTGAAACCATCATTTTCTGTTTTAGGAGGTCTTTGATTACTGAGTCAATCTCCTTAATATTGATGTGCTCAAATTTTCTGGCTCTTCATGATTCAGTGTTGGCAGACTACGTGTTTCTAGGGATTCCTCATTTCTTCTAGGTTGTCCAGCTGCTAGTGTATGCTTGCTAACAGTCTCTCAGGATCCTTCGACTTGCTGTGCTATCAATTGCAGTGTCTCTTCTTTCATTTCTGATTTTGAGTCTTGTCTGTTTTCCTGAATTAGTCTGGTAAAGGTTTGCCAGTTTTGTTTATCTTTTTAAAAAAACCAGCCCCAAGTTTCATTGATATTTTCTGGTTAGGCTCTTTTATTTTAACTTTGAAAATAGAAAAGTGTGTTTCTCAAAGGAGCACATCTTACATGTGAGAAGGAAGTGAGGTCATTCCTGCTCGGCGGTTCCTGTAGCAGTGTCAAGCCTTTAATTTTCAGAAGCCTTAGCACTTTAAGTGGAAGTAAAGAGTCAGGAAAAAATGACCCTTGGTGACTAAATCCCACTACCAGTGTCCCCAGAAAAGCCAAGATTGGTGTTTTTCAAACTTTGACCACACACATGGTAGGAAATGTACGTTACCTAAGGACCCAGGAAACACATGTAGGTACAGCTAGAAGTTGTAAGAAATTTGGTACCTAATTCTAATTATGCCACCATGTACTCTAATATTCTTACTCCATTTTATTCTGTTCTGTGTATTTAATTCTATCCATAGTCCATTGCAGGCTATTTTATTTTGTTATGCTGATCCTGACCCATTAAGGGGTCATAAGCTGCAGTTTGACCAGCCCTGGCTTGTGGATGTGTGGGAGAGGGGATCCTGTCAGTCAGTGCTGCACCCCGTTGCAGCCTGCACGCCTCCACCCACACTTGCATTCATTCTTGGTTTCCCCAGAAGTGCTGTTCCCGGATTTTCCTATGACCACCTCTTTGTTCTGCACACACTGCCAGTCTGTTTGCAGGCTCTGCTTCACGAGCCTCGTGTCTTTGCTCTGGGAACTGACTGGGTGGAGACTCGGTGGCCTCCACATATTCCCCTTCAGTCAAAGAGAAGAGAAGGGCCAAAATCGGAGTTCATAGGGAGGGCCTGGCCCCCCCAAAAAACAAACCTGGGCCTGGGGAAGATGGAAGCCGTGTGATGGTGCCGCACGGCAAGAGAAGGACAGGGGTGCACTATGACTGGGGATCGAGTTAAAAGTTCAGAGTCTTACTCACTTCCTTTCCCTGGACTCTTGCTGCCTGCAGGTAAATTCTACTGCAAACCACACTACTGTTACCGAGTCTCCGGCTCCGCACAGAGGAAGAGACCAGCAGTGGTTCCCTTGCCTGGAAAGGTAATGGCCATCTGCCTCTAAGCGGGGCAGAGGCAGCAGGCGCTGTTTCAGGGTTGTGGCCGGGAGGGTGTGGCCTGAGAGATGGTCGCAGTTCCGTTTGGGGAGGGAACTGACTTTTCAGTCTGACACTGCGTTTCACTAAAGGTGAAATTCCACCTGCCACCCGAGTGGGATCTGGGAGGCCGTCAGACCCTCCCTCCTGCCCACTCCGTGAAGAGGGCTTTGCATCTTTCTGAGAGAAGGGTGCGCTCAAAAGGAACTGGCAAAGTAAAACTGCTTTGCCTGCCAATTCATTTAGCTTTCATTGTTCTGTGAATTATTTATCTAAGAACCTTTTTTGTTACTTATTTTAATGAGAATAACTGACTCTCCCACCCAACTTAGTCACGGCTAACTGGGTCCTCCCTTAACCACGCGGCGGCACCCGGTCAGTGCTGGGCTGCAGGGGGCTCCGGGGGAGGTGCTCTGGGCACCTCTACACTTTGACCCTGGTGATTTCCACATGAAGTAGGTCCTGTGTTTTTTTTTAAGAAGCACTTCTCGAATGAGGAGTAGAGCTCTGGGCTGGCAGGCCTGAGTGGCACACGAGCAGTCTATGTCCTTGACCTCTGAGGTTGACGTGCTGCAGACAAGTCACTCTCCTTTTCTTGCAACTTCCCTAGGAGGCCAGAGGACCCCTGCAGGATGGCCCCATTGCAGACACAGGCGGACGGGCCGGCACCGGGGCCAGCGCCACTGAGAGAACCGCAGGTAGCCTCACTTCCTTGTTTGGCTGGGTGGCGCGTCACTCTCTCGGCCTCTGTGACAAGGCCAAGGGGATGAGCCAGCACCTCCAGAGCAACATTTCTTCGATTGGGCATCAAGTAGCCCAAAACCCTCTGGACTCCTTTTTCATGTGCCAGCTCCTTGCATTCGGAGTCCCCTTTCTCTATGGCCTGTCGGAGGTGCTGGTACAAATCCGAGGGGAGTTTCACTGGCAGGCCCCGAGTCAGTAGGTCACCGTCTGGTAAAATAGCTCCCAGGCTTCAGTACTGACTGCTCAGAATCTCAAGGCCTGTGCACATCCATCAGACACATTGAGGTGGTTGGCCCAGGCCCTGTCTAGGTAAACAGGAATTCCGAACAGGCTATTTTCATCACTGACCCATATAAGAATGTGGGGTCGCCAGGCCTGGTCGCTCCTGGTCGTGGGCTGCTTTGACAGAGCTTGGAACTATGTTAAGGCCCCGTGATCTGGCTTTGTGCTCAGCACCCCCTGCCTGGGTGTCCAGATGAGCCGGCCAACAACCACTAGAGCACATACGTCCTGATCACTCCGGGGCGTGTGAACTTCTGATGAGGATCCAGCCCTCATCTGTCACAGTTTTACTCATTACCTATGTCAGGAGGTGAATGACAGATTCCCTACCTCTAAAATCATGTTTATTCTGGCCTCAGCAGAGCAAGAGCTCATGGGCACTAGGCTTGTTAAGGATTGTTTTTGTTTTTTTCCTTAAAATCACCTCTCTCTGCTCCATGTCAGCCAGTCTGTGAGGTGTGTCTGCAGTTCCACAAACAGCTGGGTGGTCCTGAGGCCCTCAGCACAGCCCCAGGCAATTCACAGCCCAGGGTCAGAGAGGCCAGGGAGATCATTTCTGCTTGTCACCCATTTCCTTTAGTTCAAAGCAGATACATATCAAGTAGCCATTTACAGACTCATAAAAATTACCATATAAAAACTAAAGATTACTAGCTGATGGCAGAAACTGTGGAAAAGCAGTTGGTAGTGGAATTTCCAAAATAGGAAAAGAGAGTTATCAACTCAGCCTTCAATTAAAAGGTTTCCAGAGTTGCTTCTTTGCCTGTAATGTATTCTGGGGAAGGGGAGTGAGCCCAGAGGCTGGTGTGCCCCTCATGCCGAAATCCCAGCCAAAAGAGGTGAGCTCTGTTTCCACTACTATCTGCATCCTTGTTATAACCCAGGGAATCACGTGCTCTGGAGTCAGGACCAACATTTTAGAGCAATGTTTAAGCCACGAATGACTTTGAAAACTTCTCTACCCTTTGAAACCATTTATAATCTGTCTTTCTCATGAAGTGCTTGCATCCCTTTGCAGTTGAGCCTCTCAGAGCACTGTGGGGGGCACTAGCAGAGAAAAATCACCACAGGGATCTAGACAGGCTCAGGCGCTCCCCAGTATATTTGCCCAAGTGAGAGCACCACTGTATTCTTCTGCGCCTTCTTCCATTGGACATGGGTTTTCCCAGGAAACTGGCTGCTCAGTAAAACGATTCAAAGAAATTATACGTTCTTTTGGGCATAGAGTACAAATACAGAACCATAAAAAAGAATTATTGAAGTTCAAGTCATTCCCGAGTGAGCCAAGTTTGTTGACTTTCCCCTCCAGTTCCACTTGCTGTCCTTATAGTCGAGTTTGGAAGCATAATGGGTTTTTAGGAGTCCTAAGGAATTAAGGGTACGCTAGAGAAGAACGTTCTGTAAAGCAATGAGAGAAGATGACAGCTAGCAGTGTGGTTAAAGATCAGACAACCAGGAAAGAATCGATATCTGCATGGTTCTTGATTCTGAAGGTGACTGACATGTTACTGCACAAAGGGTTCAGGATGCTCAAGGGTTCAAGGTAGGGCATCCTGAAGGCACTGCAGCCTTACCCCTGAGATGAGTGAGTCCAGCACTGTCCCCCAGGCTAAGGTGCCTGTAGGCAGCGGGAGGGCCAGAGCTCAGGGCCAGTGAGCTTCAGCTGGTATCTGCCCCTGGAGGGGTGAGCTTTTGTCACAGCCCTGAGTGTGAACGTGCCCCAAAGCACCAGCACTCTCCCTATACAGCGTCTTGATTTTTGCTGGCCTCCAGGGAAAAGGAACAGAATCATGGGTGGTACTCTGGAGTTGGCATGAAATGGATTCTTTTTCTTTGGTAGGGATCTCCTTCTTTAAATCTCAAACTAAAGCTTTGATTGGTTAGCTAGAATGGCCTTTTGAAAAACTCAGGTGTCTCAGGGCCCCTGAATGTGTGTCATATACAGCAGCACTAGCCCAGACCCTCCAGCACATATAGTCAAGCAAAAGCTATGAGTGAGTGAACTCGGTCCTCCTGTCCCCGGGAGCCACATCCCAGGAGTGCAAGCTGGAGGCGTCGGGACTGGTTGGCACTTGGCCCTGCCTGTTTTGTGCTCTGCACCACCTCATATTTCGTGGCATCCCTTCCTCTCGCCATGTTCCTTTCCTTGTATGCCAAAATTACTGTTGTTGCCAAGAAAACAAACACAACCCTCAAGTTAAAGAACCTACTCAAGGCCTGCTTACACTGTTGTGTTTCCGGGTAGCTTCATGTGTAACTGCCTCCTAGCTTAGCATTTGCAGGATGCTCACAGTATTTCTGTTAATGTGCTTATAACAGAGAAACTCTCCTCTTCTGTTTTCAAAACCTGTGAACGCTTTGTTTCCAAGTTCCTTACACTTACTGCTACAGATTAGTGGACCTGGCACAGATTTTATTACCCTGGTCTCATAGTACCTGCCTTGACAGTAGGGAAAGTTTGGACAGAAGGCAAACCATTTGCTCTGCCTACAGAGTGAAAGCGGCAGGTGCCTCCTTCCTGTCCCCAGAGAGCCCTTGCATGATCACCATCAGTTTCCATGGTTTGGGTGCCAAATAGGCTCCTAGGAAATGGAGGCATTTCCCACACCAGCTAGAATCCCCATGTAGAACAAGGAATACCATTCAACCCTGGGCTTCCTGCCTGACAGGAAGATGTTCAGAAATCTCACTGCATCCCAAGCCCTCTTCCCTTATAGGCATTTCTGCAAAACCTATTAGTAGAGCAAAAAGAATTTTGCAGTCCAGCATAAGTCCCCAACCTGAGCCCAAGAGTCATACTTGATGGTGATACGTAAATATTTATGTACATACACATCTATATTTATACAGGTTTAATTTCATATATATGAGTAGACATTTATATATTATACCCTAAATAATAGCAATATTAATGAAGCTGTTTCTGAAGTTTATTGTTCCTTGGTTCTGTCTGGAAGCACACTGGGAAGCCAAGCCACCAGCCTGGCTTAGTGTTCTGGTTGGGGTCTGGGGAAGACCAAGCAGCCCCACAAACCTGGAGGTGGAGGCATGGGGGTGGGGGGTAGCTCAGCAAATGAGCAGTACACCCTTCCCAGCTCAGAAAGGGGACCCAGGAGCAAAGTGGACAACCGGGTGTGTGCTCGCAGCACACCCCAGGGAGCCGAGGTGTGCCTGCCTGTGGTCTGCCTTCACGCTGCATGCTGGGCCCCTGGGTTTACTTACCGCACCTTTCTGCTGCTTGGCATTCAGTGTGTCTCTGGGACAGCAGAACATTTTTGGTCCCTGCTGAAAGGGGCCTCAGCATGGCCTTGCAGGCCTGACCGGTGAATTAAGGGGTTTTCTGTTTTCCTGGGCCATTCAACTTGGGTAGAGTTGGGGGTGGAGCCAGAAGGCAGGAGCCAAGACCCCTAGGTGGTGGTACAAAGAAGCCAAAGGGAGGGGGAGGGGTGCTGTGCCAGGGAGCGCATCACTGTCCACTCCAGCATTCTTTCAAGCTTTTGTTTTTGCTCTTGTTTTTAACCTGTGCTGTTGTGAGTTTTTGGTGTATTTCTTCGTGATTTTTTTTTTAATTGTGTAACTTTGTTTTTGCTGTTACTGTGAAACTAAGGTGTTGTGCTTTTAATTTTTTTTAACAACTGTTACCGTCTTGTTCGAGAATAAATTCCAAACAATCTTCAGGTTTCTGAGTTTTTCTTTTCCTTCCCTTTTTCCTGATTGGCGGGTGGGAGAGAGGGAAGCTCAGGCAGATCTCAGGCTTAAGAACCAGTGTACCTTGGAACTCTTTTCTGGGGTGGGTCAGGAGAGAGTGTAGATGTATTAAGGTGGGAAGCAGGGTGTTTGTACCTCAACAAAGATTTCCATTAACAGAAAGGCCCCCATTCAAGGGGGTTGGCATGTGAAAAATGTGCTGCTTTGTAGCTGCTGCAGGTAGAAAGATTGAGGACGCCACCTGCAGCCCGCATTTAGGCAGCCAGTGCAAGGGGCTGGAGGCGAGAGCAGAGGGGAGGGGACACGGCCAGGGGTCTTCTGCTCTGTCTCTGACCCCCAGGCTGCTGGGGCCAATCTGAGTCTTTCCTCTACCAGGAGGATTTCACCTGAGGCACAGTGACCTTGCTCCTGGCCCTGTCGAAGGCTCTTGCTCTGTCCCTCTGGCATCTTTCCTGGACTGTCTTTGCCATGACTGGTACACTGAGTGGGGACCTCCCTTCTGCTTAAGCACTCTCAGATCTAGAGGGCTGAGCCTCTCATGAGCTCTGTCTGACCTTAGCCATGTGGCCGCTTGGCTGTGTCCACATACCAGCCACCACAGCACAGCCAGCCATGGTGCTGAATTGGGCCAGTGGAGGGCACCTTGGTGGGGAGCTCTCAGCGCTGGTCTGCTCCTGCTGGGCTTGGGGAAATGGGTATCTGTGTTTAAAAGGCTTCCTGGCCTTCTGAGCTCAGAAGCAGTGCACTTGGGACTCCGGGAGCTCTGGAGCTTCCGCACAGAACAGAGCAATAGTTTTGTCAGCATTCTAGGGAACTAGACTCTTATCACCGAGGGCCTGTGTCCCTGCATAGCTGACAGCTCTGCCAGAACACTGTTGTCTGTGTTGTTTTAATTCTGAGGGCTTTGCGAGTCCAGAATTTAACCCAGCAGAGTTTGGCCCCCCTGGCCTGCTTACCACCCGCG